CATGGGATGGGCGAAGACCGACCTGCCGTGAGTCGGAGGCTGGAAAGCCGAAATGGCCACCAGGTGCACCCTGACTGAGGACAGCGACAGACCCTGGAGCTTAAGGTGCAGTAAATAGTCCAAGATCTCTTGCAAGGGGGCCTCTTCCGCCAAGGCCCAACACATGAACCGCTTCCACTTAGCCACGTAAGTAGCGCTGGGGGAGGGTTTCCTGCTGCCCAGCAGGACCTGCTGGACACCGGCAGAACACTGCCGTTCTTCCACACTCAGCCACGCGGAAACCAGACCGTCAAGTGCACCGCCGCCAGGTTCGGATGCAGCAGATTCCCATGATTGTGGGACAGCAAATCCAGCTAAAGAGGCAGCTGCAACTGGATGGCTACCGAAAGACTCAGGAGCATGGTGAACCAGTGCTTATGAGGCCATGCCGGGGCTACAAGGATGACCGTTCCTCTGTCCTGCTTCACCTTGAGCAGGATTCTGTGGGTTAACAGCACCGGTGGGAAGGCGTACATCAGCACTCCCAACCATGGAATCAGGAAGGTGTCTGACACAGAACCCTTATCCCTGCCCAGCAGAGAACAGAACACGTGGCACTTCCTGGGGAGTTCCTCACCTGCGGAAAATTAGGCTGACCACCTCTGGATGGAGTGAGCATTCGTGGCGAGATGAGAAGGATCTGCTGGGCGATCCACCAGGACGTTCTTAGTTCTGGGCAGGTGGGCGGCCCCCAAATGAATGGCGTGCCGCACACAAAAGTCCCAGAGGCTGAGCACTTCCCGACAAAAGGCCAAAGACCTGGCGCCGCCCTGCCTGTTGATGTAGCACATTGCGGCAGTATTGTCCGTCAGGACCTGCACCACCTTGCCTTCCAGGTGAGGCAAGAAAGCGAGGCGCACCAGGCGAACTGCTCTGAGTTCCCAGACATTGATTTGAAGGGTTAGGTCGTGTTGCAGCCAACAGTCCTGGGTGTCGAACTTGCTCAGATGGGCTCCCCAGCCCAGATCAGACACGTCTGAGACCAAGGTGAGCGAGGGCGCCGGGGTCGTGAAGGGGACTCCCTGCAGCACTGACTTGGGATCCCGCCACCAGTCCAGAGACGAGAGAATGTGGCTCGGCACCGCAACCACTCGGTCCAGGGGGTGGCTGCTGGGAACGTAAACCGAGGCCAGCCACGCTTGCAGGGGCCTCAGATGAAGCCAGCCATGGCTTACCACATAGGTGCACGCGGCCATGTGGCCCATCAGTCGCAGGCACGTGTGGGCCATGGTGAGCGGTTATCTCTTTATGTGGATGATCAAGTCTGACATGACCTGAAATTTTTAATTGTAAATGTCTTTAGCAACAGGTTAAATTAAAAAGCACTCTCCCAGTTATTCAAAAGGAACATCCATTAACTTTGTCAGGACCAAGATTCCAGTTCACGACAGGTTTTCTCACTAGTGGAGATATCTTAACTAGTCCTTTGAGGAATCTTACAATAGTGGAATGGCTGAAGAATTTTCAATTGCCAACTGAAAACAGTACGTTGAGATGTCGATAGATCACTTTGAATGGTGACAAGGAAAAGCTCAGACTTCAGATATAATAAATAGTCCAGAATAGATAAAATTGGGGAACACCTGGAGACAGATTATCTGTTGCCCATAGAGATAAGTTCTTTTCCATTGCTAGGGGAAAAAAAGTGACTGAACTGTTCTGTAACCTACTTTTCGAGATGTTTTCTACATGTCCATTATACTGTAGGTGTGTGTGTGCGCCTCTAGAACAGTTGTCAGAATTTTTCTCCCTCCGCGGTACCCATTGGGGCAGCTCACACTGCATGCAGCTATAAAGGGTGGAGTCACCTCCAACCACCACCGGGTCCTTTTAGACAGAAAACTCCAATGCCGAGGGGTAGGAGGGCAGATCGTGGAGCAGACACGTGCAACACATCTCGAAGAATAACAGTTATGGAACAGGTCGGTAATTATTTTTTCTTCTTTGAGTGATTGCACATGTGCATTCCACTCCTGGTGACTCACAAGTCATGAAAACAGATGACGGGATCAGAGCCTTTCTGAACAGGGACTGAAGGTCAGCTCGCCCAAATCTTGCTCCATGTCTAGCTTGCAAACAGGAAAACAAGTCCAAAAATCTTTTTTTTCTTTTAAACACAACTAAAGCTTACTATCCTAAGTATATTGAAGACTAAACTAATTATATAAACACACACTATATTTACAAATGCTGGGATCGAGACAGAACTGTTTTGGTACTGAACAGAGTTCCAACGACCGTCACAGGCAGTAAGAAGGAACTGAGGGGGCTTAGGGGAGGTTCTGCCCTTTCCACCTTCATGCAGTGATGCACGGCAGCAATGGGAGCTTGAGCCACCCAATGGGTACCTCTGAGGGGAAAAAGTTTTCAATGACCCTGTGCTGGGCTCACCAACACCAAGATTGGAATCCACATGTATAGTCACTCGAAGAAGAACTGTGCATAAGGAGGTGAGGTGACACTGTTAGATGATGATTTAGATTGTAAACTCTCTGGAGCAGGGATTATCTCTTATCTATGTTTGTACGAAGTCCAAAACAATGGATCTCCAGTCCTAACTGGGGATCTTTGGGTGTCAATATAAATTATATTTATAAGAAGATATGGGGGCTTTCTCATGACAGCTCCAGAAGATCTCAGTACCATCACTGGCCTGTCAAATCTAGAGTACTCAGAAGGATACTGGTCTAATCTGATTTTTCTGATCACCAATAAAAATAATGGAATTAGTGGAGAAGTACGAAGGAGATCTTTGCTTCAGTCCAATAGAATGCATCAGATACAGTCTCTGTCCTCTCAATCTGAAGCAAAACTGAGGATGCTTTGCAATGCTCCTTGTGGCAAACACATCTATGAAAGATTTCAAATTTATCCAGTTCTCTTTATCTTTTAAATCAATGGGATTATTTACAGATTAAGGTACTACTCAACACTATTAAAAATGACTGGCCCTAAATTAACATTACATGTCAAAGCTTTCAAAACTGGATATCTCAATATGTTGGAATGTTCAAATTACCACTTAGGTGTAATAAAAGGGCTATTTATGTTCTTAAGTGTTGATTTGAGAATCCAGTTATCAGATTTAAACAGCCCATTAAACTGCTCAATTTTGAAAAATGGACTCCCACATTAAATTCTAAACTCAGATGTACAGCACGTGTCTTCACATAGCTTGAAAAATTCACTACTGAATTAGCATGACAGTGAATTTTCAGGACACGTAGCATTTCAAACTACACATCTAAGATTAGAATCCAGGCCTCTGTCTTTAATTTTGGCCCCCTGTGCTTAGACTCTACACTTTAGATCAGACACTACAAAGGTTTACACCACACTAGACTAGGCAGTCTACTTTGTTCATTAATCATTGACACAATGGGCTACTTAGACTGTGAAAAGCTGTCACATGAGATGTATTATGTCAAAACAATTGAAATGTATGTTTTAAACCCAGATTCTGCCTCCAGATACAAGGCACAAATTCTGGAAAATCACTTACTAGATGCAATATGACACAAAATGAGCTCAAATACAGCATCTTAGATCCAAATCAGCCTTTTTAAATCTAAGTGATACAAATTCTTATGATTCTTCCCTGAAAATGTTAGTGTGTATTTCCAGTAGTTACTTTTTGTGAAATAAAATGGATAAGTTAACCTCATCATCTTGACTATTGCAACCTCCTCCTCTCTGGCCGCAACAAATTCCATCTTGAGCACTTATTTCCTTCCAAAATGCTGCTGCACAGATTATTTTCCTGGGCCAGTGCTTTGATAACCCTCCACTGGCTCTCCAATCTCCACCATAGCTAACACATATTATCAGGCTTCATTTTAAGGATTTCACAGCATATCCCTGCCCTACCTGTAATATCTTATACAGTATCAAGACGTCAATACCTGCACCTGCTGTGCAATTTATGCCTGCCTGGCCCGCCAATTTGTAAAATTTTCCAACAAGGACCTTCACACTTTCTCCCATGATTCCTCTTTTGAATGGGAGGAACTCCATACAGAAATGTACAAAGGTACCACATTTTCCTTCTTCGAATCCCTCCTTCCAACTCTCCTCTATCATAATGCCTACTACAAACTCAACAACAGAATGGAAGATGATGTGGCATGACGGCTGCTATCATGCAGATTGGTATTGTTCCTCGAACTCCCCCAGTCTATTTGTTGTATCCGCCTGTTGTGTTTCAACTTATACTTAGATTGTACTCTCTTTGGGACAGGAACTGTCTCTTCTTTATATATTTCGATCTTATATATTTATATAATGCTCATCACTGCAATATCTGAGCACTTCCCAATCATTAATATATTTATCCTCACAACAGGTCTGGAGGGTAAGGAAATTCCCCAGGGTACTATTATCCCCACTTTACAGATGGGGAACTGAGGCACAGAGACTAAGTGACTTGCTCAAGGTCACAAAGGAAATCTGTAATGATACAGGGAATTGAATCCAGGTCTCCTGAGTCTCAAGCTAGCATCTTAACCACTGAATCCTGTTTGTACAGTACCGGGGGGCACAACTTTAGGAACTACCACAATACAAATAAATAACAACAATACATGAATATTTCAATTGTAACCTGATTCCCCTAATGAATGTCCACAACAACTAATCTTCAGTAAGGAATAATGGTCTGCAAACATGTCAGTTCTAAACTGAAGCTGGTTTGAGTTACTTAAGGGGAAAAGAGCATCTGAAACCACTAACTTCTATTTTGTTACATTCCTATCACTTAAAACCAGATGAACGGATTTTTTTTTTAAATTTTTACAGCTGACTAATAAAACCCTAAAAATAAGGTTTTATAATGGAAAGTTGACCCAAACTAAACTATAGGAGTGCTGTTATAAAACACAAAGCATATGGTCTACTTACTGAATTTGAATAAAAACATTGAGACATTTAAAGAAAGAAATTATTCTTTATCACGTTTCACTTACTTCAAAGCCTCTTCCAGTTTGCGAATTTTCTTTTGAGCATCCCCTCTCTCTTTATCAAGGTCATTTTGGAAGCCATGAATCTACCATTTCAAAGAAAAATTTTACATTTTAGCTACTATAGCATGTGACCAACAGAATGATTAAGCATTATATCAATTTTGAACATAATAAATTAGTTTCGCATAGGTTTAGATAAGAAGTTGTTGAAATATAATCAACATATGTAATGTGATGTTTCCACAGTTCAAACAAAGTTTAGGTACAAAATTAGCAGCAGGCGGAGACTATCAGAATATAACCTTCTCAACTAGTGTGATTTTTCTTCCTGTCCAAAGAAATGTTAAACTTCTAGTGTTAAAAATACAATAACTGTATTAAAAATAACTAGTTTTTTCTTTAGTATCAATTGCCAGTATGAGGATACTGAGAGATCATGAAATAAAGGGTAGATAAGAGATACAGATTTGTCTGAACCATATCTCACACAAAGCATTTTTTAAAAATACAATTAAATGGGTTAAAGCTACTTAAGCATACTAGCCACAGTATAATATACATTCAGATACTATGGCATCCAAGAGCAGTTGCCCCCGTGGAAAGAAAAGCTACAGAGGAAGAAGAGAACTGCACTACTCTAGAATTCTTCACCCTCATTGAAATAAAAAGTGAGAGTGATTCAACAAGCATGTGAGAAAGACTGCATATAGTCTTAGCTACATGCTTCAACAAGCACAAGATAAGTCAAGGTTTATTAATCTGTTCTCATTTTGAAATTCTTGGGTACTGTAATTTTGCAGTGTATGTGAACTGTGCATCTAACCTTAACACCCAAACAAATGCACACCCATAATAGTTTACAGAATCTTTAACATAAATATAACTCCTCAGTCAGCCAATATATATACATAACCATACATAAATATGTACATACACACACAAAACAAACACCCTTGCCCCCCTCACATGTACAGATTCCAGAAGATGTGTACAGTCACACATGCTTAATCTATTTTAAAGGTCCCATTTCTCCTAATTTCATCTTTTTTCTCTTTTTTTAAATCTATTTAGATTATAAACTCTTTGAGGCAACGTCTGCTTTAAATGTTTGCACAGCACCCAGCACATTTTGGATGCTAGTATAATAGAAGTAGTAAATAATAATGATTAAAAAAAAAGACTACTGACTTCTGGGTGCAATTCAAGCTGACAATTTTGTTCTTGTAAGGCCTTACATGGTATAGATCCTAGCTATCTGAGATCACCTCTCTCCCTGTAAACCATTTCCGAGCTCCTAGGCTGTTTCTAACATGCCCTACCTTTTAGTGTCAGGTGGCTAGTAGCAAGTTTTAATCTGCGGAGGGTTCTTTGCTCTGATTCTGTTGGACCAACAGGGGGAAGTGAGTTTCAGAGTTTGTCAACCTTCCAGGCATGGTACAAAGCACATCTATCTGTTCACACTGGTTTTTGCCTAAAGCAGGTTAGGTGTCAAGGATTTTTTCTTTTTTTTGAGCATTGTGAGGTAATAGTGTAGAGATGTTACCCTCATATCTATATTTTCTTTGTGACAAAGAGTAGTGGTAAATTTAGGGAGTGGTCTTCTAGCACCCAATTATTTGCAGCATGATGTTTGATTAATATGAATGTTCTCAGAGGCTGAGGAAATAGGTGCACAATTTTATGCATACCTAATTGAAGAGATTGCATGGTTCTGCATAAATTATGATTTTATTGATAGTATATAAGAATTGATATTAGGATAAAGTGGGCATTAAATATTTGTTAATTTCAAAGTAGTGAGTGTGATGAAATTACATCAGAGAGAGAAAAAGAACAGATGGAGCAAACAAAGAAAATTTGGTTTATGAAGTACAGAAGTCTAGAGTGGCATTGAGAACATTTAGAAGCAATACATGTGCCATCAGCTAAAAAGTGTTGTGAACATGTACAAATGATGGGAAGTCACAGCTCTGGCTCCACAAAGCACTCTGTAGTTCTACAGATGCCTCAAGGGAAAAAAAAAGAAAATTCAATAAACCCTCACACCCTATAAACTTCTACAATGTGAACCACAGGAATCCAGTACATTTTAGCTGATTTCATATTGCAAAAGTATTTGCACAATATGATCAGAAATCATATCTCTAGAAAACATCTAGACAAGAATCTGTATTAGTATCAATGACCTTGAATGTCTATAACAAGATGCAACTGACACACTCCAACATAGCATACTGATATCTCAGATGAAAAACAAGAAATGAAAAACACAGTTAAAAAGACTCACTGGTAGAAAGTTTCAGTACAGAAGCTAACTGTGTGGAAGTCGGGGTATTTAGCTGGTTTGGAACATTCTCAGAGACAGAGGGATTTTCCATTAGGGTGGTCAGAAGTCAGTATTTACTGTCCTAGCATATTATATATGTATAACAGCTGTTACAAGAACTACTCTTGATAATATTGTATCACAGTTACTACACTTAGCTGCCTGTTTGGAATACAAGGAGATTATTTGTAAAAAGCAGGTGTTTCCTTTACTTGTAAAACCATTTAGCCTAACTGGTTCCTGATTTAGTAGATAAGTATCCTTAATCAAACAGTGACATTTAGGGTTATTACTTATTATTTGTTTGATGTTCAACGATCTTAACAGGGAATAGTCACCATAGATCAATAAAGGTTATTAGATACTGGTAAGTATTTAAGCGAACAGATTATACCTCATAATGCATGCTTCCTTTACTCAAAAACAGGCTATTGTTTTTAGTATTTTATAGGCGAATCAGTCCTCTATTTTATGGGCGTATGTAAATAACATGGTTCACATGTATTTTTTTGTCTCATCTCAAAGATTTTCACAGTACACAGTTACATCAATGCTTCTGAACATGTGGACACCTGTACTGATCTCTATCAAAACAAAAGTTTTTCCCATCTTGTTTATTATCACATAGTTATATAATCCATCCTGAAATAAGCTTTATCTTATCTATTTCAGGAGTCAAAGGGCATATTCCCTAAGGGATGGGATGACAATAGTTGTTCTTGACCTGAAGCTCTCAAGAGATATTACAGAGATAGAAAGACAAAAGAAAGCTGAACTGAAGAGAGAGTAAAATATATGAACAGGCTAGGAAGTAATAATTCCATTTCAAATGTGTGTGTGTGTGTGTGTGTGTATATATATATATATATATATATATGCATATGTGCGCACATATATTTTGACCTGGTTCTGCATCAGTTTAGACTTGAATTGTTCTTGTAGCAATGACAATTGTTTTGGTAATCATTAATATTTTTAAAGAAAATCATGTGTGCCATTTAAAAACACGACTCGTTTATTACATGCAAATAACTTCATTACAATATTATTAATGTTGCAAAGTCAAGCACTCTAAAGTTAGGCCATTCTAGAAATGCCACCCACCCACCACAACAGGCGGGGGAACTTGATGGGGCCAGGGGTGAAGAGGGACAGCCCCACAGCAAGAGAGAAACACACACTCATTGAAGCTCCTCCCACCCTCTTGGAGTCTCTGGCACCCACTGGCCAGTTGTGGGAGAGGGGTGCTGACTGGCCTACATCCCCTAGCTCTAGGGATTTTACCTGGAGCCCAGGCCATGTGCAGCCTCTTCCAGCTCCATTCCTTAGAATTGAAGCTGCCTGGGATGAGACACTTTGCCAGTGGGTTTCCAGACATATTTGCTGACAACAGTGGAATGCTGAGACTCAGAGAACTCGGGCTCCATTCCAGGCTCATCTAAGCCTTTCCTCCTAAACCTGATCCCTTCTGCCCCATCCCCTCTAACCAGTCCCAGTCCATACTACACCACTGGCTCCTCATCCCAGTCCCATTCTCCTCACCTAGCCAGGCTCAGTCTCCATTGTCCACGCTTCTGATCCAACTGCCAGTCTATTTGCTCAGCAAGTCTTAGTCCACCCCTGCACGCCCCCGTCCCCATCTCCTCCTCTCCCAATTCCTGTCTCCAGTCTTCCCCGCCCCACTCCTTGTTTCCAGTCTTCTTGTCCAGCCAGTCCCAGTTCCCTCCTGAATTGTCCATTCTGGCTCTCCCCCTGCCCACGGTCCCTGTCCCCATCTCCCTTCACAGGCTTTTCATCCAATCTCTATGTCATCTTCGCCCCCCCCCCAGGTTCCTTAACCCAGTCTCTTTGTCCAGCTAATACCCAGTTCTCCCCCACATCCCAGCTCCTTCTCTCCGCTTCTCCCACCCTATTGGTTCCTAGTCCCAGTCTCCCCCTTAGCTCCTCATCCAACCTGTTTCTCCCAGATCACTGGCCCTCTGGTTCCCCAGTCTTTTCCCTCCCTAACTCCCACACCTAGTCTCCTTGCCTTGCCATTCCCAGTCTCCATCCCCAGCTCCCAAACTGTCTCCCTGCCAGCCTCCAATGCCAGTCTTAACCCCACCCCCCGACTCCGTGTTCCAATCTATTCCCTTAGCCTCCCCCAGAATGCCCTAAATCCAGGTCTTGTACCCTCTGAATTTGAATCATACAACTTTCTCCTCCATACTGCCTTGCAGGGGGGATAAGAGCACAGGAGAGACAGACTCTCTGCTCTCAGTTCTGGTGCCCAGACCCATCCCTTACAGGAAAAGTTCAGCTTTGCCACTGTAGCCCTGAACTATATGCTCAGTCACCTTTTAGGGATGGCATAGTCCCGTCCTGTCACACATAGGAGCTATGAGTGGATTGAGCAAGCTCAATCACTCTGGGGATAGTGCATGACCAGTCTAGTTAGTACTAGGAGCTACAAGAGGTTTGAGCATACTCAGTCAGGACAGAATCTCTAGATTAGATTAGACAGAGAAAAAATATAGATCCAACATGGCTACTCCTCTCACAATGACATCTTGTTTATCACCCTCAGTCTCTCACTCTCCCCTACTGGAAGGAGTTATCGGGTGCAGCCAAAGACTCTTGTAATTCCAGCATAAACATTCTGTAGCCAGATACTGTCCAAATTATGCCAACCCACCCTCGATTTTGACCTTCAACATTCTTATTATTAAATTCTTGGCTCCTTCTTCACTAGCTAACTTTGCCAGACTGAATTATGGGGTTTTTTTGCACATGAAAATGGAGTCTAGGATAACACTGAAACATTTCCACTTGTGATGCAAGACAGGATTTGAACTTTGGGCACGTCTACATAGCCCCACAGTCTGGACTACAGGGGCATTAGGACTAGCTTAATGCGAACTAGGTGTGAATTAAAAAGTATCTGTTTTGCATTAATATAGTCCTAAAAGGGGTAGCACCTTTTAGGACTACGTTAACACGAATGAGGTATGTTTTAGACACACATCCACGGGGTCTGCACATTGCAGTTACAAGACACCATGCTACTGCACACTGCAATTCACACCTCTGTACTGAACTGTAGGGCTGTGAAGACAAGCCCTAGTGTCACTATAGTGATCTGAAAGAACGAGGAGTACTTGTGGCACCTTAGAGACTAACAAATTTATTTGAGCATAAGCTTTCACTGTGACGGGCTGGATCACAGAAACCCCTTTGGGAACTGCCAACCGATGTGCCAAAACTACTTCTGCCCCTGCTTTCCTGCCCTGGCAGCTTAGGACTCCAGCACCCTGTCTTGTTGAGCCAGACACGCCAGTCTGCTCCAACGCAGACCCAGGGTCTGAACCACATGCCCCAAAGCTGCAGACTTAACTGAAAGCAACTAACAAAAGTGTTCCTGTCTTTAACACTCAGATGCCCAACTCCCAATGGGGTCCAAACCCCAAATAAATCCATTTTACCCTCTATAAAAGCTTATACAGGGTAAACTCATAAATTGTTTGCCCTCTATAACATTGAGCTAGCAAACAATGCATCATTTAGATCCATTGTTCCTTTTGTTATAAGTAAATGAAGAGTAGTTCACTTGTAGCTGTATTTCAATTCATTCACATCATGAGTTTGTCACTAATGCTTAAAAAATAAGTCATGCAAGTCCATTATGTAAACTTTTATACATACATTCTGTTAGTAATCACTACGTCAGCTGAACACAGCTTTGACTTTAAAGACAAAGTCATTAAAAAAAACAAAGTCATGTGGAATAATTAACTCTTGCAATGAATGACTGTTTCATGTCAACATTTTTGATGTTTAAGTATAAAAATGTGTACATATTGGCAAAGCGCTGCAAGATTAAATATGCACTATAAGTGCTAAGCACAATTTTTTAAAAAAAAAAATCTGCTCTCAAAACACTACCTCTCGAAGCTGATAGAGCATATGTATGGGTACAGGTAAAAGGTACAGTAAGTATTTGTTGGGGGAAATGCTAAAATATCAATAACAATTTCAAACTCCCTCTCTCTTCTACTAAAGCAATAGCAGAGAGTGAAAAATCACAATAAGAACAAAAGAAGTACCTAATAGGGCCCTGTCTGCATCCTCTTCACTGGGGTGAATTTCACCCTAAGTGAATTAAATAGCAGGCATTAATATGTTTCGAACCACAGACATTATACTTCTGGAAAACATTTTAACAGCTTAATCCTTGTTTAAAAGCTGCTTACTACTAGACAAGTTTTTAGGTTTCATCAGTTACCTACCCCCTTTCTACCCAATATTCACTTTTTTATGGATTTGTGGATTTCAATAATTAGCTGCTGCCTATGACATCTGAAAGTGCACGTAACATTTTCATTTTTCCTTCAAACTCTACCTTTTTTTCATGAATCCGCTCTAAATGAAGTTTTTCCTGTTGAAATTTGTGTTCTTGATCCTGCAAATTGAGGAATTGATTTTTTAATAAGGAATCGCTACTTCTTTAAACAGATTACTATCATTCAAAAGCAGCCTTTACCTAGACAAAACCTGTACATTTTACTAGAGCGCAGTATGGTCCATATCAACCAAAGTGTCCAACTTTATTTCAGAATTAAACATTAATTGACAAAATTTTAATATGTTTTATTTTAGTGCTAAAAATTACACAGCATTATTACTAATACTTGATTAGTGTGGGGTGTCTCCAGAATACCAGTCAGAAGACACAGGTTCAGTTACAGGTCTCAGGGCTTGTCCACACGGCCATTTAGAGCACAGCAAGCTAATATGCTGAAGATTTACACACTGGCTTGCTGAACAGTAAGTATCTGTGTAGACAAGCCCTTAGTCCCTAGCTTCCCAGACTAAAATAAGATGGGAGGCAATGAAGTTAGACCTTGATGAGTGCAAGAGGGGAGAAAGAGTGCTTTCTCCTTGCTTTACAACAATTCACCCTATCAAATAAAAATGTTAAAGGATTCCAAAGACAGTAGTACATAGTCCTCCTGTGCCATCAAAATGGCTACACTTCCCCAAGTAAGAATAGAACATGATGGGATGTGGGGAAAAGGAGATACCCAGGGCTCCAACAGGGATGCACTGTAACAATCGTGAAACAAGTTTATGCTGACTTTTACAAACTTAGATACTGCTATGAAAGACAGAGACAGGGATTTTTTTCAACTTTGTACTTCTCTATAATCCATTGATATACATTTTTATATCAGTTCAACACACAGGAAAATAAGACAAATAGCCACAAAGTTTCTTTAAAAGGCTTAGCCAAAAGAATAAGAACAAGTTCTACTCTGTTAAGTGTAGAGGGATCGGCTCCTCTGATTTCCAAGAGCTCCAAAATATATCTTAGTTTGGCATTCTATTCATACAAATCTTAGGAACAAGTAAAAAGGGCTCTTCATTTTTCCTGAGTGAAAAATTCAGGGCTCACCCTCAGCTGTTGCTGCCTTTGATGTTCTGATTCTTGTAACTGTTGTTTTAATTCAGACACACTCTGTTCTAATTCTTCAATCACATCAGATGCCTGTAGGGATTTAATAGAAGAGTGAATGTTTGTCCTGTAATCTCTATTTACTCTACAGAAATAAGTTACTCTTTCCCTTTTCAAAGTTGCATCAAAAAAGTAGAAAAAATTATAAATTTGGAAAAGACAATCTTTTTCAACACTGGTCATATGTACTTCATTTCTAATTTGTCCATAAAAGTGCAGATGGGACTGTAGTCAAAAATTATAAAACAAAAAACAAAAAACAAAAAAAACAGGCAGCTGATTTAAGAAATTTGAAAATAAAATGGAGACAGTCATTTAGCATTTTCTTACCAAAGATCTTAGCATTCCAGTAATTCATATCAAAATGTGGATGCCATGTTTGCTCTAGGTTAATCATGTTTAGAATACGCTACAGTTTTTGAAATTTGCTATGTTTTTATAATATATATTTTATTTGAACATGATGTAGGCTAGATAACCTATCACAAAGGCTACTTATAAAAAAACTAATTTCTTACATTTTTGTGCTGATTATTTAAAAGGTTCAATTCAAAGATGTATGCAACAAAACGTTTCATGAATAAAAACAGGACAATATTTTAATATGTACCTGAAGAAAAATATTTTTCTTCATAATTCTTTTGGTAACAAATTTTCAAACAGGCCTCATCCAACTCTCTAAGCTTTGTGTCAAACTTTGCATGTCCAAGTTTTTCGGCACCTAAAACCTTACATTCATACATCCAAAACAAGAGCTCCGCTAAATGGTTTACCATTTAACTCTCTCAGGAGGAATGTGGCAGTTGTAAAGTATATAACACAGACAGACATCTTGCACAGAAGTCTTGCCTATTACTGCTCTTTTATGTAATTATAAAATGCACAAAAGAGTACAGATCACATATAAAATAATACATATCCTAACCACAATGCCCTTTGTTAGTTCATCCTTCCCATGGGAGTCCCTGGAGGGCCATCTGGGCTCAGGAAGGCAGACAGGATCTGCTCCCTCATGCAGGCCCCCACATTTCACTACTTCTCCTTCATGGAGTCTTCTTCCCCAGCTTGCCTTCTCTCCTCTTAGCCGTGCTCTTCCTCTCTTTATATGCCCCCCTTTCCAACACCTGGCTTTCTTTGTTCTATATTTTGGTTATTTTCCATTGCTCCTATTTTCCTATCTCCCTGCAGAGGGGTAGGATAAAACTAGTTTTCGTAGGCTTGAGTCCAACCCAATGTTCCAAGGTGTTTTCACCTGAATACAGGTCACTGAGTTCTAACAACCCTCCACTGTATACGGTCTAGGAGGATGTGACATGGTCACACATGCAGGGGTGGAATCCACGTACATATTGAGGCATTCAAAAATTACAGTAATTTCATAACACAACTTCACAATATCAATCAAATTTCATAAGTTCTACAGACAGATCCCCCAAGCCATCACAGCAAGCGAGTAGCTCCTTTGAGTAAAGTTATTCACGTGCCTTAATATTTGCACGATTGAAGCCTTACAGACCATTTTGAAAGTGTGTCCCCTTATATACGTAATTGGTAGGCAAGCATTTTTATGCCCATTATTCCTGGGAGGTTGTATGTCTGTAAACATACCTTAGCTGCTGAGAGAGCATGTTCCTGTTTCATAAAATTTATGTCAATATCATATTTGTTTTGTTGTTGTTGAATATTCTGTCCATAATCTTGTATTATGCGATCCTTCTCTTTCTGAAGGGAGTTGCACCTACAAGTAATAATAAAGAAAAAATAAAATGGAAATTGGCTTCAAATTTTGGCACTTTATTTGCTTTATGTAACTTTTGAAGCTTCTGCAAAATTCTACACACCCACCTAGTCCTCTCACTCGATAAAATGTAAAATAAAATTGTACAATGTAAAATATATTTGTTTTTTTTGTGATCAACATCTTGGTGAGTGTCGAACAGTGGTTTTTGCACCTGGGTTGGTAAATTTTCATGACAATTTCCTAAGGTTGAATTATTGAGCACTGATTTTCTTGAAGACAGAGAGTGATGTTTAGTTTTGGAATTGCTTTGGTTTAAACTCTGACTACTTTATTAATTACCTTGATTTCACCTCCTGCAGTTCAGTGCATACTGCTTGGTAGCATTGCTCTAGATCAGTCTTTTCTTGAGATAATTTCTGACGCTGTAAATTACTACTTTCAGCCTCTACAGTCAGCTGCTGGACACGGGCCTCCAGTTCTTTGACCATCTGGTTCTAAAAGAATAGGTCATTGTTAAGAATAAATTGGTGCACACTCCTGTTGTTATTCAACAGCCTAGAGCAACTGCAGTTCTCTGGTGGTCCAGAGAAACAAGAGTTATAAAAGCAAAGCTGTCATCAGTCAGGACAGTAAATTCTATAATGTATCAAAGCTTTCAAAATATACATGTTTCAAACAAAGTAAAGTGTGACCTCTGCCCCCAGGCCCAAACTGGAACAATACTCGCACTAGATTTCTATAGAATAAAGTTTTTATAATATGAAGCAAAACAAACAGTTTAAAGAAAAAATTGCTATTGAGGATAATGTATCTTGAGCTACTTCATACCTGTCAGAAACAAACAACACTATGATCAATGACAATATAGACAGCCTGCATGTAAGACAGAGCCCAAAAAAGAAACTTTCAAGACTAATACCAGGAAACATATATATATATATATTCTTTATTTGTAGTCCCTTTCAAGAACAAACAAGTCAGTTGCTCAGATAAAGCCTTTATAATGTTGTTATGGAATCCAATTCATTTAATTTGTACGTTATATTGGCACCAAATGTTTACTGTAATAAAATACTTATTCAGTTACTAAAATGAACTCATGGCCAATGCCTGTTCCCAATAAATATACTGAGGTACCAAAGAATTGAAGGATTCAGGAGTTGTTCATTATTTGCAGTAAGTCTCTTTTAGTGTCATATCCAAGAGACTGCAAAAATAACTTGATACAGCAGCTGATAAAAGACATTTTCCATACATAAAAGACTGTTTCTTTGTGTATCTGAGTAAACGTGCTCACATATGTGTATGAGATATTTTGAGATATACTGATAAGTGTGGCATGCTATAAATTAGGGGGCTATTAAGAGGACTGATTATGATATACGTATTACAATATTCAATAATGCTTGACACATTTTTAGTAAGTCTTCATATCAATTTACAAATATTAACAAATACCATTCACAAATACAAACATCACTCCATGAAGTAGGTGGTATTATCCCCATTTTAAAAATGGGAAATTGGAAGCACACAGAGAGAGATACCCTGGCTCAAGGGGACATAGCAATCAGGATCAGGCCTAGAACACAGGCATTCCCTGCCTGCTTCCCTCTCTATTTACCTCTCCTTATAACGAATCCCTTTTCAATAAATTATACATGTACACTGAACATTTTTGAGTTAAACACAATTTCACAACATTCAGCATTTAAAATAAAAATATCTGAGAATTCCAAAGAATATATACTTTTTCTCTTCTCCATTCTTTCCTAAAGTAATCTTAGTGTATAAGGAAATGAGAATAGAATTCCTGAGAAGGCAGAGGTGGGAAAATAAGACACAGCTGCCTTTTCAGGATGTTCAAATCAAAGTTATTTTTATATTAACAAAGGTTTGGAGGTGGGGGAAGGGAGAGGAAGTGGAAGAATATTTTCACCCTCTGTTAAAGGAAAGTAAAAACTCAAACATCTGTCAACTCCATTCAAGTTTTGTAGTATATTTAAATGTGCCTGGAGACATTTCTGACACACTCATGCAATCAGAATAGCATTACTCAAGCTTTGCAAAACAGTCTAAAATATTTTCTCAAACACACCAAACTTAACCATACACTTGTGTTGCATTTTAAAAGAGACTCTTTCCATCAATGCAAAGCCAGCTGCAGAGTCTGGTTTGTTTAGACAACAAAGAAAGTCAAGTATATTTTACTTTTAAGTTACAGGATTTGTCATGTAGCTAGTGGAGATTACTATCTTGTTTTTGACAAACAGCAGCTTTCAGACATCCTGTACCCAATAGATTGAACCATATGATAAAATAAGGAGAATATCCCACTTTGCCAGCTGGGGGAAATTTGGCAAGAAAAAAAGTTATCAACTTAATTGCCAATGAGAACAGTGCCTTCAAAGATAACGTAAGCTGTCAATTGGGGCACAACAAAGCCAATCCCCTAAAAAGCTTGTAGCATGCAATGAAACTGTGTTACGTTAATATGGAAAATCTGCATTGATGGTTGTAAATTTTAGAACAAGATACGGTAGTAGTTTCAAATCAGGGTAATATCTTTTATAAATAGCATTAAAACAGTTGGCATTTTTATTATGTACATGTAGTATTAATAAGAGGGGCCATCCTTCATCCAGTCAGTATTTTGGTCAGTATGCTCCTTAATGAAGAGCATATTTAAGAATATCCCTGAATCCTCTACTGGGGCTGATAGGCTGTTCAATGTACTGTGGGCATTCCCCCCATAATCCAGCAGCTGTTAGATACTCCTCTTGAAATGTGCACTGTACCGTATGGGTCACTAGACCTTCTGGGCTACATGGATTTTGCATCTAGAGGCTGTTCATAGGGAGTCTAATCCAAGATCAGGATCTAAAACAGTTGTCAAAGAAGCAGCTACATCTGAGCTCAGAATTTGGCCCTTTAAGCATAAGGCTATATTAAACTCTGTCCAATCAATTGTGAATGCTTTCGCAATCTAGATTTGTGCACTAATCTAACCACAGCGGGTATACATATTATACCCTATGGGCGGATTTCACTCTCAATTTACAAACAAGAGTCATCAAGGATCTTCCAAAACTATTAACTTGTTTTGGCCCTCCTTAGGAGTTTTTTCTACAGATTTATAATTTGAAATTACTGTCAGCCACCCATAAGGAATTCCCTCTTCTTGCATTTTCACTTATGAAACATGTCCCTCCCAAAACATTTTTAATATGACAAACACTAACCCATGTCAGTGGAAAACACTATCACCCAAATGTTTAAAAAGAAGACACAAAAGCGCTAAATCAGTGCCTTCCTCTGGGTCTCTCAATGCATTTTGAATTATCCATTTAATTTACACTGTAAACTCCTCAGGGTAGGGACTGTGAGTTCCTCTGTATCTTAACAAAAATAAATAAAAAAAACTCAGTCAAGATTAAGCATCAATATTCACCCAAAATATTATTTAAAATGTTAGGAGGTGAAGATGCCTTTTAGCAGCACAGCATATTTCTTACTACGGAATATCACAAATTATGAGATGTAACTATTAAGGGCCTTTTACCATAAATAGTCATAGTCTTGTAAAATATACAGCATGAGTGTTCTGGAGGGGAAATAATTTAAGGAGCAACACTATGCTTTCAACTCTTTGAAGTGGCTGGTTGGATTACACAAGTGAGATTCAGCTTCTAGGAGAAGACATCACTCTTCAGGACCTCAAGTTGGCTGACTCAGCAATATTACATACCCCAAACCCCACCCCCAAATATTCTTCTCTGAGTTGCACAGATGTAAGTCCAGAATGACTCTGCTGACTTTGATGATTTAGACCATTAACTCATCTTGCAATTAATCACTTGCATGGTATGCACACATTCCCAGTCCTTTCTTTTTCCCAAATATCCTCCTACATATACACTTACCACAGGACAACTGCTATGGATAATGGTAAAGTAAGGTCTATGGCAGAGATGGCTGAAAATATATGAGAGACAGGGAGAGATGGCTACTTATGTAATAAAACTAATGCCCAAAACCCCTTTTCATAAAGCTTTCATAAATTTTCATAAAATGTTTCCATAACTAGTAAGTCATTCTTGCTTCAGTGTTTTATAATTATTGATGCTAAATCACACACATACTTCATAACCATTGCTATCTGCACTAAAGTATATATATTTTTCCAATAAATAAATGTTTGTTTTAGTGGGGGAAACACTTGTATTATAACATTGACAAGAGTTATATCATTCAGCCAATTCACTTGTTCACAATAAATGGCACTCCTGACAGTATGAAACGCCATGAAAAATGAAAAAAAATCTAAAACAACAAAAAAAGAGAAACTAATTTTCAGTGACAGTCTAGTCTTTCATCTTAAGCCATGCCTTGAACTCTACCTTGTTTAATTATTAAATCAGGAGCTGCTCAGCAAGATCTGTCTGCTTTTGATGGTTCTTAAATTCAATCCTGCTGACAGACTGTGTCCATTTTTCTCCGTATTTACTGTTGCCTATGACAAGGTCTGAATGCTAATTTTTCAATTCAACATTCATTAATGACAGAATAAAGTTTGTTTGACGTTGCCCTTTATCTTATTCAAACTATCGCTTTTCTTTAATGTCTCATCTTGATGACAAAAGTACAAGATACCTCTTTGAAAGGGACTTGTTGATTTTTGCTAACAAATATTTACTTTATAAACTGTGTATACAGTGTATAGTAAATACAGTTCACAACTGACTTACAAATTATCTGCCTTTTAGTATTTTAATGATACACAGGGAGTTCCCTTGAGGTTTGTAAGAATTTATATGGAATTCAGAATGAACTCTTTTCTTCTCCAAGTGTGTTAGAACACATCTAGGTGAAGGTTAGTTGCCTACTGCTTCTTTCCTTGGAGGATTGTCTATCACTGCTAGACTGAGCAAAGAAAGGTTACCCCCAGTAACTGCTGGTCTTCTAATACACTGCCTGTATAATTCCACACTTCTGGGTGGGCACTATCCTTAATGACAAAATGAGTACCCTCTCAAAAGCAGCAACTGTTGCTTCCACACACATGCTCCCCCATGGAGCTGAACATTTGAGGCATGGTTATAAAAACTACCACCCCAAATGTATAGTTCCTTCTACATATTCAAAATCTATAACCAAAGGCTCTAAAGAAGCCGCCTCTTTCATTGTATATTGCCTGTACAGAGCTCCACTTCAGAGGATTAAGTAATAGTATGTACAGTACTCCAAAGAGAGATTCTCCCAGACCACCAGCTAAACCAGCTATTTGGGCCATTTGAGATGGTGGACCAGCACAATGTGGCTGGCGTGTAGCCAAGGATTACCTCCTCCCCGACACACACACACACACACATATCTGACCGTGCAGAGATATTGACAACCAGGAAAGAAGGGGTAGAAGCACAGTGCAAGGCTGGCACTCTCCACCTTACTGAGTGGGGGAGGCAACCTAATGACAGATGATGTGAATAAAGCT